ACATTTACTTCCATATAAATTTTGAAATCATTGTGTCAAGTAGCAGAAGAATCCCACTGGGTTTTCTGAATTGAATTTATGAGCTAATTGGGAGAAACTGACTAGGAGAAGTGACAGTTACAATTCCACAGGCAAGTGTGGTATTCTCTGACACTGTCACTGGTGTCAGTCATATACTTGAATGGATTCAGCCCTCAGTGAACACAAATACTGCTTTGTGTTCTGAGAACAAAATCTGCCAACTTTTGGGGGCAGTGGTCCCTAAAAATGAATTATTATTATTATTGGCAGCACTGGGATTTGAACTCAGGGCTTTGCACTTGCTAGGCAGATGCTCTGCCACTTGTTCCACACCCCATCCCTTTTAGCTTTGGTCATTTTTCAGATAGGTTTTGTGATCCTCCTGTTTATGCCTCCATCATAGCTGTGATGACAGGCATGGACCACCACATGAAGTTTTTTTGGGTCGAGATGGGGTTTCACTAACTTTTTGCACAGGCTGCCCTTGAACTGAGAGTTTCCCTAAATCTGCCTCCCAAGTTTCTCTCTGAGTAGCAGTGTGCTTAATTTTGGGTAGTCTCTATTACTGTCCCTTCAAGGACACTAACGTGTTTTTCTGCAATGTCTAACCTGGTATTAACCCCATCTAATTTTTCATCTCTAGAAGTTTACTTTGAGGCTTTAAAAATATTTTCCACATTACTTTTTTTTGTGTGGTACTGGGATTTGAACTCAGGGCCTACACCTTGAGCCACCCCACCAGCCCTTTTTTTTGTGACAGGTTTTTTCAAGATAGGGTCTCATGAACTATTTGCCCAGGCTGGCTTCAAAACTCCATCCTCCTGATCTCTGCCTCCTGAGTAGGTAGGATTACAGGCATGAGCCACCAGCAAACCGGCTTAACTTTTTTTTTGTGGCACTAGGATTTGAACTCAGGTCCTCATGCTTGCTAGGCAAGTACTCTTGCCAGTTAAAACATTCCACCAGACCCTGGCTTAACTTTTTGAACCCTTGGAAGACACTGTTTTAATGTCTTTCTCTCCTAATTGTACTGTCTGTACAAGTTCTGGATTGATTTGCAATTCATGATTCTCATTATGGCTTATTTGCCTGGGAACCTTTGACCAGATGCCAAACCCTCTAAAGGCTGCCTTTTTCAAAGCTGGAGATTTTTGTACAACCATAAATCTTCTTGAGCTTTGCTCTGGGATACACTGAAGTTCTTGAGAACACCATGCTGCATTCAGATCTTGGTTTTTTGATTTTTTTTTTAGCTGGGTCTGGAGCACCATGTGGTGCCAGTGGCTCACACCTGTAATCCTACTCAGGAGGCAGAGATCAGGGGGATCGCAGTTCAAAGTCAGCCAATGCAAATAGTTTTAAGAGATCCTATCTTAAAAAAAAACCCATCACTAAAAAGGGCTGGTGGAGTGGTTCAAGGTGAAGTTCCTGAGTTCAAATCCTAATACTGCAAAAAAAAAAAGACAGAAGGGCCATGCCTTTGATCCCAGCTATTTGGAAGGCAGAGACAGGCGGTGGATCTCAGTCCAAGGCTAGTCTAGATAAAAGCATGAGACCCTATCTGAAAAATAAACTGAAAGCTAAAGGGCTGAGGGTGTGACTCAAGTGGTAGAGCACCTGCCTAGCAAGAAGTGTGAGGCCCTGAGTTCAAATCCTAGTATCAAAAAATATTTTTAAAAAAGAGCAAGACCAGACAGAAGAGACACATGCAACACATTTATTCTCCCTATCTCTTGCCATGGGATGTCCTATACCACTTCAGGATTCTGCCAGCAATTAGACCAGCAGCAGATGTGCCCCTCACCCTTGGAGCAGAACTATGAGCCAAAAGAAACTTCTTTATACCGTACCCAAACAGGCGAATAAGGGCGCCCTTACAGAAGGGCTTTGAAGGAAGGAACTTGTCCCTCTTCTGCCATTCCATCCCTTTCTGACACGTGAGGATGATGTTACTCTATTCTGAGGGATTCAGCCAAAAGACACAATCCTGGAGGTGCCTTGATCCTAGCATCCAGAACCCTGAGAATTAAACTTGTTTTTTCTTGTCTGAGGAATCTTGCTGTAACAGTGTAAACTAAGACACCTTGCTGCACCATGACCTGACAACTATCTAAGTCTATAAAGTGGGCGATGACAGGGCTCCCTCACCTGTTTACACCTCACAGGTACACTGCTTCTCGTTCCCTGGTATCCACTGGGCAGAAAAACTACTGTTCCACATAGGTTGTTTGCTGGTTTAGTTGCTTTAGGCAGAGAGCAAGTCCAATTCTTGTCACTTCACCTTGGCAGTTCAGTCAGGACCTTCACTCTGAGATGGATGGCTTCAGGCAGAAGAGTGAAAAGAGTCACTTTCCAGGTTGCTGCTGGTCACTGTGTTAAGGAGGGCTGAGGGGGTTAAAGAAAGATTCAGGGGATGAATGCAAGAGACAATGTAGGCTCGGGCCAGTGTGGTGGTCATCAGGAAATGGGAGAACCAGGATAAAAGTGCTGACTGGGCAGAGGAGGAGGGAGACCAGATGGCCAAGGCTCTGGGCCTGAGGAACCAGGAGTTTGGTTTCAGGGAGGCAAGAAAAACTACAGGAGGACGGCATGACCCAGGTCTTTTTGGCATGTTTTTTTTCCCAAGTGTATAGCTCTGAAGTTTGGGGGCGATCTAGACTGGAGACGCATTTCAAACTCATGATCATATCATTTTTGTTTTGCAGCACTGGGGTTTGAACTCAGGGTCTTACGCTTGCTAGTTAGGCACTCTACCTCTTGAACCATTCTGCCAGCACATAAATGGACTTTAAAAGCCTGACACCAGATGAGGTCACCCAAGGAAAGAGGGCAGAGTAAAGAGATCCAACACTGAACCCTGGTGCTATACTACGAAAAGGGTGGGAAAAAGAAGGACCAACAAGTGTGTGAACTTGAAACTGGAGTTTTGGACCCAAGGCCCAAATTCCTGAGATTCCACATGCCTGGTCTAGTCAACAGTCCCTAAACACCAAATAAAGAAGCCTGGTGGAGGCAGGGAAAGGAGGTTTATGACACGGCTCGGGACATCCATGGGAAGAGGCAGGGTTACACTCAGCCCATCTTCAGCCATCTTCAGGGTACAGACATGAGCTGTAGGTTTAAGAAGTGGGGACAGGTGACAAAGGTCTGCATAAACAGCCCAGTCACAGGTGTGGTCTGGTTGACTACGGTCTCAGTCCAGGTGTTCTGGAGATGTGATGTTATCACTGACATCACTTCAGGGGAGCCATCAGGTCCCTATGAGATGATTGCTCCTGCTCCAGGGTACAGCCTCGTCATTATAGGTCATTGTCCTCATTCAGCCGGGTAGTCTGTTCTGCAAGGCCTTACTGCCCCTTAGGGGAAGTTTTTAGCCCCTTGACATAAAGATATTATCGATCATTCCTGTCCTTCCTTGATTCCAAGGTGGCTGCAGGAGAATGGCTCAGAGCAAAGGACAACAGGTGCAAAATGGAGACAGAGATGTCAGGCTTTTCTGCTTTCAGTTAATTCATGGAGTCACTGCTTTTCAGCAAAAGCCATTTTAGGCACCTCCTACAGGATAAGCCAGAGAAATAGGCAGAGCAACAGCCAAGTGTGGTCTTTTAGAAGCGCAGAAATATTTCAAAGAGGAAAGAGGGATCGGTTATGTCAAATGGAGACAGATCAAGGAACTCAGACTCTGAAGGAACGACCACAGGATTTAGCAATGGAGTGATCACTTGTGATCTTGAAAAAAAGTTTTAGTGGAAAGGTGGGGAATCACTGGAATAGGCTCAAAGGAGGAGAGGACAGAAAGAGATTGTAGGTCTATACAACTCTTCCTGACAGCAATCAGTTGGGTTTTGGGGGACCAATCAAAACTTTTTTAAAAAAGGGGTTCAAAACATTGAAACTCTTTTGTGTAAATTTTTGAGATTAGAAAATTGTAGAGCTGGAGTATGGCTTAGCAGTAGAGGTCCTGGGTTTGATCCCCAGCATGGCAAGAAAAAAAAAAAAGTTAAAAGAAAATTTTGTCCAGCTTTAGATGACAAATGTGAGAATTTTATGTGTGTGTGTGTATATATATATATATATATATATATATACGTATATATATATTTGGCAACAAAGTAATCAATTTTCCTTGTTTCTGAATTTCATACTGGTGAATATGCCTACTCGCTGAAATTTTTTGGGAAACCCAAAATCAACTCTGGAGGTGATTTCCCAGGAGTTCACAGACCTGCACGGAGCAGCCAATCTGAGTTAACAAGCAGAGGATAAAGTGATGCTCTGCCATTCTTTCTTTTCTTTTCCTCGGTACTGGGGCTTGAACTCAGAGCTTCACGCTTGCTAGACATGCACTCTACCACCTGAGACATTCTGCCAACCCTTTTTTGTGTTAGGTATTTTCAACATAGGGTCTCATGATTCCCCAGGGCCTGGCTTTGAACCTCAACAATCCTCCTAATCTCTGTCTCCTGAGTAGCTGGGATTACAGGCGCGAGCACCAGCGGCCGTCTGATTTAATCATTCGGTATAGCATGATCGCAATGGTGGACTATTTGCTCTGAGCGCCGCCACCGTCACACACCTGGTGATGCCACTGACCCCATCCAAAGGTCAAGACGCGCTGTTGCAATTTTTTTTTTTTAATAACTTGATGGCTTTAGGGCCGATTCACCACCAGTCACTCGAGTGGTGCTCTAACAGTTTCAATCATGCAATTATTAAGGGACAGGCAGAACCGACGTCCGCGTCTGGGGGCGGCGTCTGGGGTGACACGTGCCGGCCACGCATCGGGAGCTGGCGCGGGTCCAGCGCGTGGGGACCCGGGGACGCGGCCCGATGCTCGCAGCACTGCCGCCAGCGGGATCCCGAGCACCGGAAGCGGCGCCGCCCACTTGGGGCGCTGCGGACACTCGAGGACAGGCCGCCTTCCAGGAAGCCAACCCAACCAGGAAAAAAAATAAGAGGGAAAAGGGAAAGAAAGGAAGGGGAGGCGGCGCCCAGCCTGCGTCGTGCTCGTCCCCGCGCCACGCTCCCGCCACTGCCCCCGCGGCCAGGCCAAGGACCCCTCCCCCAGCTAGCCCGGCGGCCCTCAGGTGCGTATCCACCCCCGCCGCCATTAGGAGCGGGTGCATTTCTCAGAACCCTCCCCGCCATTCCCGGAGGTCCACGGAGGGGATGCCCGCCTGCCTGCTCGGCTGCACGGCGGGGACGTGGCCTTCAGATGACCGGCGCCCCCGGAACCCCCTTTCCGCGGGCGGACGGGAGTGGGGGTGGGGCGGGGAAGCCCCACCGCGGGGAAACGGCTGCACGCACGGGGCGCGCGTCCGTCTCTTTTCTGATTGGCTGGACGAAGGCAGAGAGGGTGGGCTCTCTGGCCTCGGTGCGCGTGAGGTCAGGCGCAATTTGACGTACGTGAGGTTCTCGCGCTGCATATGGAAGCGTTTGGTTGGTTAAATGAGGGGGCGGGGCCGCCTCTGTTGCTCGGTTACGACGCTCTGGCCCCGCCCCCTGCGTCACGCGTTGCTGGTGCCCCCAAGGAGGTTGATTTTGTCTGTGATGTGGACCTAGAGACCTTGGTGGTTGGCGCAAAGCGAGTCTAGATGCGGAGAAAAAGGCTCAGGAATGCATTTGTCACAATTCTGGTTTAGAGTTCCCGGGAGGAAAAAGGCTCGCAAGGCTGCGTGTCAGCTCTCAAATCCAAGCTTTGGTATTAATGGCTTTATTGAGATAAATCGTTTAACTCACCTTTTAAAACTGTGTAATTCAAGGTTCAGTGGGTTTGTGAATGTGCTTCCTGCTGTTACCATTCCAGGTCGTTTTCGAGACCCGAGAAGCTGTGGTTTCCCGTTTCCTACCCCTTCCCTGCCCAGCCTCTGGTCACCACTTTGGCGGTACTAGCATTTGAATTCAGGACCCCGCGCTTGCCAGGCAGGGCTCCACCACTGGAGCCGTTCCCTCCAGGACTGACCACGGGTCTATGACCCGTGGACTTACTTCCTGGCTCTGAACGTTGCGTGTGGATGGAATCATCCCTAGGAGGCTTTGGTACCTGGCTTCTTTCATTCCCTGCTGTCGCCGCAGTCATGGTATTAATATTTTATATTTGAACCGGGCTCTGGTATATTTGAACCCTCTGGGAGCTGAGATAGGGAAGATCGTGGTTCAAGGCCACCCTGGGTAAAAAAAGAGTTCAGGAGATACCACCATCTCAACCAATAGCTGGGTATGGGGGCCATGCCTGTAATCCCAGCTACAGTGGGAAACATAAAATAGGAGTGTTGCTGGTGGGATGCAGTCTGTGATCAAAAGACTTCCAAATTCTTTGTGTCCCACCAGGAAGAATCAATGGCAGGACACGTGGGTGTAAATGGAGTTTATTGAAAGTTCGGGAAGGGAAACACAAAAGGGAACATGGTGGGTACAGGTGGAAGCTGGAGGCGGAGAGAGGTGCCTCTCTTCTGCGGTGCTTTTACACTAACCCATGGGAAGGGAGGAACCAGGTGATTCCCTGCCTGGTGAGGGCGGTCCCTGAGCCACAGCGTGGTCAATCTGACGTGCAAAATTTTTCTGAGTGCCGAACTTTCCTAATTTTAGCCCCAGGAGGATCATAGTCCAGGCTGGCCTGGGCAAAAAGACCCCAAATAACCGGAGGAAAAAAGGGAGGGAGGTATGGCTTAAGTGGTAGTGCCTGCAGTAAAGTAACACACACATTTCTCTCTCTCTCTCTCTCTCTCTCTCTCTCTCTCTCTCTCTCTCTCTCTCTCTCTCTTTTGATTTTCCAACAAGTGATGGATAATTGCGTTGTTTTCATCTTTTGGCTGTCATGAATAATGCTGCTGTGTTCATTTGGGTACTTTGTTTCTGTGTGGACTTTTTTTTTTTTTTGGTACTGGTGTTTGAACTCAGGGCCTACACCTTAAGCCACTCCACCAGTCCTTTTGTATGATTTTTTTTTTTTTTTTTTTTTTGAGATAGGGCCTCACGAACTGTTTTGCCCAAGGTTGGCTTTGAACCATGACCTCCTGAGTAGCTGGGATTACAGGTGTGAGACACCAGCATCCGGCTTGCTCGGTACATTTTTGTTGACTGCTGTGACTTTGTAGTTTTTATTTACTGTACACCTGAGCTGAGCCAGCCAAGGTGACACCCCTGGAACGTGTTTGTTAAAATCAGGCTCTCAGGGACGTGAAAATTTTACCTTTGGAAAGGAAAATGGACAAGTTTCAAAAATAAGCCAGGCTTCTGTTTCAAGATTTCAGAGGCTTAATAAATGGAGTGGGTGACATTTCAAATGGTGAAAAGACATAAGCAATGGATCAACACCTGACATCAGGGTTTCTATCTGTCCTTGTTTGAATAATATTTTTTCACTTTGTGGATACCAACATAATGGAATAACTCTAGAATAAGAGAATAGTTTATTCTGAACCAAATATGACTGGCACGTTCCCAGAACCATGTGATTCTTTCCTAATAGATGTAACATAAAGCCGGGGTGGTGGCTCACACCTATAATCCTGGTTACCTGGGAGGTGGTGATCAGGAGGATTGAGGTTGAAGACCAACCTATGCAAAGAGTTCAAAAGCTGGGCATGATGGTGAGTGCCTGTCATCCCAGCTACATGGAAGCTGAGATCAGGAGGACCACAGTTCCAGGCCAGCCCAAGCAAAACAGTTAGTGAGACCTCATCTTAATGAAAAAAAGCTGGGCACGGTGGTACATGCCTGTCATCCCAGCTATAGCAGGAAGCATAAAAATAGGAGGGTCATGGTCCACAAAATCAAGAGCCTAGCTCCAAAATAACAAAGCAAAAAGGGCTTGAGGCATTATTGAATGGTAAAGCACCTGCCTGGCAAGCAGGAAGCCCGGAGTTCAAACCTTATTTAGTACCTACCACCAAAAAGTACAATAGAGAGGTGATGTAAGCTTTTGTAGGTACAGAGGGAGAGAGGCAGAATCACCAAACAGGCAGATTATAAACAAGCGGGGAAATCGCTTCCGTGGGATTTAGGGTTGGGTTGTTTGGGTGTTTTCCCCTTCCAGTGCTGGGGATGGAACTCCAGGCCTTGAGCCGGCTAGGCCAGTGCTCCACCATGGAGCCACACCCCAGTCCCAGATGCCATCTGAACAAGGCAAAGGTGTCGTTTACAGTCTGGATATTGTCATTCCTGGCTTCTGAGTTGGTACAGACCAGGGAGAGGTCTGTCAGGCTTACACACATTCCAAGAGGTTTATCTGGTAGTCACAAAATGCTGGATCAGATACAGAGGTGGATGGTAACTGGCTATTAAAAGCCACTAAAGATGCACGAGATAACATTTGGGCAGTGCCTGTAATCCTAGCCACTTGGGAGGTTGAGATGGGGAGGTTGGAGGCCAGCCCAGGCAAATAGAGAGACCTCCATCTCCAAAACAACCAGAGCAAAATGGACTGGAGGTATGGCCCAAGTGGCAGAGCACCTGCTTTGCCAAGTGCAAAGCCCTGAGTTCAAATCCCAGTCCCATCAAAACAAAAAAAGTTACATAACATTAGGTTTCTTGATCTGCAGCCTTCTCCACAGCCACCATGCTGCAGTCAGCAGAAGTCAGATAGTCTCTCAATTCCTGGATATCTGATGTGACTTGTTAGGAGAACTTCAGCTCACAGTGGCATGCCGTCCTGTCACATGCATGCATCCCTGTCTGTGCAGCAGCAAGGCCTGGCTAAGATGTAAGCAAACAAGTGTTCCAATAAAACTTTATTTACAAAACTGGGCTGGAGTTTGGATTTGACTCACAGGCTGCAGAATGCTAACACTGCTCTAGGGTTTGCTTTTCTTTCTTTTTTTTTTTGGCAGACTGGGGTTTTGAACTGAGGACCTATACGCCACTCCACCAGCGCCCTCACACTTTGTGTGTATATGTGTCTGGTTTTTTCGAGATAGAGTCTCTTGAACAATTTGCCCAGGCTGGCTTTGTGCCACGATCCTCCTGATCTCTGCCTCCTGGGTAGCTGGGATTACAGGCGTGATTTGTCAAGGTTTGCTTTTCTTTAGGGAATCATTCCTCAAGGGTAGCTGAGAAAATTAGGTGGCATTTTCAGAGGTGTTTTAGGTTTGTTTCTCCAGGGTTTTGTTTTTTTAAATTTGGCTAGCATGTGTTAATTGCACAGCATAATGGATTTCATTACAACATTTTTATGCATATATGTGTATACTTATATATATGTGTGTGTACATGTGTGTATGTGTATATATGTATAAGTGTATATGTGTATAGATATACACATAAACACATACACATAAATATAATGTACTTTGATCATACTCACTCCCCCTTATCCTTTCTCATTCTTTTCCCTTCTACTGGCCCTCTTTTGCTTCCCTAATCAATCCCCCTTCTACTATCATATCTTTATTTTTTTTTTAAATCTAATTCCACACACGAGAACACACGGGCTGTCTGTCTTTTTGACTCTGGCTTATTTTGCTTAACATGTCCCTCCATTTTCCTGCAAACAGTGATCTCATTCTTCTTTATGGCTGTGTAATACTCCATCAGGCATGTACAGCACAATTTCTTTACCCAGTCATAGCTGGCCCAAGACAGGCCCCACGGCTTGGCTGTTGTGGACACGGGTGTGTAGGCGTCTCTCTTCTTGCATTCCTTCAGATGTGCACCCGGGAGTGCTAGAGAGGGAGCAAATGGCAGCTCTAGTTTTCTGAGGAGCCTCCAGACTGCTTTCTACAGTGTCGGCACTAATTTACACCCCCACCACCAGTGTGGAAGGGCCCCCATATCCTTTCAAACACTTAGCATTTACTGTCGCATTGCTGATAGCAGTTTTTATGGGGGTTTGATGGGATCTCGGTGTGGCTTTGTTTCTACATTTCCCTGATGTCTATGGACCCTGAACACATTTTCATTATTACTGACCGTTTGTTCTTCTTTTGAGAACTGTCTGTTCAGTTCATTTACCCATTTATTAATTGGACTGCTTCTTTTAGTGTTTACTTTTTGAAGTTCTTTAGATTTTCTCCTTATTAAATTCTCTGTCAAATAAAGAACTGCCAAAATTTTTCTCCCTCTGTCTGCAGCGTGGGGATTGTTTCCT